AGGGGAGTGTAGAAAAGGGAGAGCATGACACCGGATAGGAATCGATAGTAACTTTGTGCGGACACAAAAGCTTCCACCCCCTCTTTTCAAGGGAGGGTGGAAACTCATCACATGGTATATATATATATACAGGTCATATATATATATGTACTTTATACATGGTTGGTTGAGAACGTGTGATGCGTTAGAATGAAAGAGACAAAGATTGGTTTCTATGTAGGGTACGTGAATATATATATATATATGTATGTGTATATGTGTGTGTGTGTACTTTAGCCCCGATCAAGGCCGTTGGTTCGCTCACCGCGACTGGGATCGACGTGATTCCAATTTACTCGGTTCCCTCTATCACCCCTCGTCCCCCCATCCCACCCCTTCCCCTTCCCCCAATCGAAATCCTTCTCACCAAACGATCGTTTCAATCCACGTGCCAAATTCCACGCGTACGGAAAGAGAAAGAAAGAGATTCGTTCGTACGATTATTATAACCGGTTGCGAATAGTGTGAGGTCATGTCGTTGAATGCTACATGCACACATACATACATATATATATATATATATATATATATACACAGGCCCGTGCAAGCAAATGCATACAAGGAAAGGGGGAAAAAAAAAGAACTATGGATGTAACGCCAAACGCGTAATATACTTGTGTAAATATTAATCTTTCATATCTTACCTATATATTCCCCCCTACCCCCACCCCCCCGAACGTTATCGTTGTCTCTTCTCATCCTAGTCGTCGTAGTCGTCGTTGTTCCCCGTGTTATTTGTTGTGTTGTATATTTGATTGATTCACGTAAGAGATTATTCTACGCGTAACAACACAACATAACAGCAAACCGAAATAGCGTGTGTGTGTGTGTGTGTGTGTGTGGGAATAAAATAAAAAAAACCGGTTTTATTTTTCGCGATAGGATTGACGTATGAATTGCTATGCAATAACATAAGTCGCGTTTATTTTATTAGGATAAAAATATATATTAAAAAAAAGATTAGTATATCGAAAATCTTTCAATCGATATATATATATATTCTATAAAAATTCTCTCAATTTTATATTGATAGGAATGATTTTCGGAGGAAAGAAAATTTGACGTTAACTAACTTAAATAGGATGAATTTTCAAATGATGCATATCCCAAATTCAAATTTGTCTCTTGAACACAAATAACAGGTGACGTATAATAGATGAATATATAAACACACATATAAATAAATATTATATATGAATATATATATATATTATATATATGGGGGAAGAGAAAAATCATTGTCGGCTTGATCAAAAAGTGTATCGGATTTCGAGACTGAAGTATATATCGCTATTTGGAGAAACGATCCGGATAAGGCAAGCAACAGCAGCAGCTCTTACAAGAGAGCCCCACTCGTGTACAGATCTCTGTCCTTGAATACGAAGGAGGATTAAGTTTGTGTATGTTTGTCTGCTGTATGCAAGTATTATAAACGCGCACGCGCGCGCGCGCGAGTACTCGGATAAAATTGTATTTGTGTGCGCCGCGTGTGTCATACGCGTTCACGCACCGTGGGACGACGTTACAACTTATATACGATATCCTGTTCTGTTTAGTATATACCTCAAACACGCACATACATATATATATATATATACGTAGTTGCATACATAACGCACATATACATACATACGTTTAGCATGAACACACGTCTTTCTATGTGTTTGCTTGCTTGGTCGTAACGCATGTAAGCAGAATGCAAACAGCTGCCGGGAATGCGGGAGACAGCAGGCACTCGAAACGAACATTAATGTCCCTCTTCGGCCATGTTACATAAACCAAGTGGACTTTTCTCTCCGACTATCTGTTCCGTCGTCTTTCACATTTTTTGACCAATTCGTTTACGACGACCATTAAAAGCCAATTGTATATAGAAATCAAAAATAGTAATAAGATAATGCGAAAAATAAAATGATTTTGTAGGTTTCCAAATTTGTCGTTGTTAAACAAAATTACATTCAAATGCTAATCTGCTGTTATATTTGTCGATAGTATTCATTGTTTGATTGAATATACTTAAAGGAACGTATCTTGTTACATTTAATCGGTAAACCGTTAACTCGCTTTCAAAGTTTTATTCTTAGAGTTATTTTATTGATATTCTCGCGTAGTTATCAAAGATGGCCGTCGTGTTTTATTTTTCGCTAAAAATATTGCTATATTATAGATATATATGTATGTGTGTATACTTGCTTTTACGTCACGTGAACTAGTAGCTCAAAGTTTATTGGCCGTAAGCCTTAAACGGGTAATACAAAGAAAAACATACATTCTATTTATCTTTATCTTTATATTTTTCTCTTCTTTTTTTTCTATGTATCTTTCAAGAGGGAAAGAGAGAAATGTTATCATCGCGTATAACATTTTCCATTCGAACGTTACGTCAGTCAGTCATCGTCGTAGTCATAGTAGTCGTCGTCGTTCGTGTAATCGAACACGATAAGCAAATGAAAGATAGATCGAGGATGTTTGTACGTATGTATATGTGTGCGTATATATATATATATATACGTGCAAAAGCCAAACGCTAATATGCTCAGCGAAATGAAATTATTATTCGCTTAGTTGCCGTCAGGCAAAGCGATTATTGCGTAGACATTTTGCTGCGTGTACCGCACGTGTGTCGCATGTTTTCGCGCGCGTCCCGTCGGCCGTCACCATTAACTGTCCGCTTGGTTGTTCGCGAAATTGCCGCTAGCGATGGCAGCGCCATAGCCGCCATGATACCCCAGGCATGGCCACGTCGCGCTGTTTTATACTCAAGTGACTAATCGCTTACGAATCGCGTTAAAACGTTCGAGTTATCACGCGACACAGCTTATATACTTCATTACAATGCGAAATTTTATCGACTTTCCTATCATCATTATTTTTTTCTTCTCTTTTTTTTTCTTTTTTTTTCTTTTATTATAACCTTGACGAATAAGCGCTATTTTTAATTTGTACTTCAATACTTGTTGGAATTTAAAACATTTGTTGTTTTTTTTCTACCACATTTGTCTTATATCTCTTTAAATATTATAATTTATTTAACTTGACGGGGATCTATAATGCTAGTTATAGATTATACATTGAAAAATGATTGATATTCGTATAAGTTTGTTTTTTGTTTTTTTTTTTTTTCTTTTTTATCTAGACAAATGTAAAGTCTGCGTTCTATTTGCAATAATTATTTTCATTATTATCAAACAATGGAGCATAGACAAAACATTTGAATATTTATAATGTACGTTATATTTTCGATACAATAGTGGAAAAGGAAATAGTATGAACTTTTGTAAATGAATAAATATAAAAATAGTCTTGCTTTTGAATAAATTAATTGTTAATTAGATTTTAACGCGTGTTAAAAAATCAATAGAATTATTAATTGCAATGTTAGATTTGAATTATCGTCTAGCGAATTCACTCAAGGATCATAAATTTCTGTTCTGTTTTCGTACCTGTCAACAGGTTCGGGATACCTACCTGCTAAACGCAACAAAGATTATCCCTAATCCTTTTGCGGCTACCGTTGATACTTTTGACCAGTATTTCTAAACCTTTTAGTCGTGCTGCCCGAATAGTAGACTTCTCTTTTTTTTTAAACGCGACTTAAATGAACACAATGAAAAATATTCTAAGAAAAATCCTGAAGGTTTAAAACAATGGATTACATTTTTTTGTAAACATTACTACAACGAATTCTTACAAATTGATTATTTTTTCTTAATTTAAGATAAATACAATATAAGATCATCCACATTTTTGTTTTCTTCAAGATAAAAACTTATCAAGTTAATTAGTTAACAAAATAATCATAATCATTTACGTTCTTCTGTAAACCGTAAATAGAAATAAATTCAATCGAATAAAATGATCTTAGGAATGATAGGAAGAAAACAGGTTGCTCTTGAATCGATCGGTAAAGGTAAAGACACTCGGCATCAAAGTTTGCTTGTCTCGAAGTACGAAGTTGTACGAGGTCAAAGAGAGAGAGAGAGAGAGAGTAGTATGAAAACTTCCAAGCGCGTGTATTCAGTCGAACAAGAGACATAGCTCGCAGTAATTTCCCGTTAGGAGAAAAAAAAAGAAAAGAAAAAAAAAAAAAAAGAGTAGAAATATAAGCGGTACCACTCTTTCTCTTCCATCGTCAGTAGAGACGAAATTGTCAAGTTCTGCGTATCATCCAAACATCCAAACGTGTGTTGAAACTTTTCTGATGTTATCACAGAACTGACGGGATTATTATACGTGCNGAGAGAGAGAGAGTAGTATGAAAACTTCCAAGCGCGTGTATTCAGTCGAACAAGAGACATAGCTCGCAGTAATTTCCCGTTAGGAGAAAAAAAAAAAAAAAAAAAAAAAAAAAAAAAAAAAAAAAAAAAAAGGAAAAGAAATATAAGCGATTCTAGAATGATGAATAAATCCCATGTTCTTGCGAAATTGTCAAGTTCTGCGTATCATCCAAACATCCAAACGTGTGTTGAAACTTTTCTGATGTTATCACAGAACTGACGGGATTATTATACGTGCGTGCAACTCCCACGTTTATATCTCCTATACTATATATTTGCGATTAAAATCACTTGATACCTAGTTAAAGCATTGCCCGTGGAAAACAATCATTTCCCCAGTGTGTTACACAACTACTACTAAGAAATCAAACAATCAAATAAGAGAATTCTAAAAAAGAGATAGAGATCATACATTAGTATTAATATAAGAACGTGTAAATCTAATTTCGCGGAAAAGATGTACCAGTTGATCGGGAGGTACAAAAACAATCCACGGTTTTTCCGTTCTCGCTTGGTAAAAGGGATCAAGGCCAAAGGTAGAAAACTGTAGGAGTTGATACCAATGAGTGAATGGTTCCAATGATCTTCGGTTACCGGTTACAGGGGAACGGTGGGGTGGGGTGGGGGGGGGAGGATAGGAATAGGGGACGACGGCGGGTTGGATTTCAATAGAAACGAGAAAAAGGACAAATGTTGAAAAGATGAAAAAACCGGAGCACTTCAAGCAACGATGTATTCTATATAGGTTTAGGTAGAAACAGGGTAGCTGTGAGTAGGTAATGCAAGGCAAAGCACAGGGAACAGCCAACCAAGCAAGCGGGAATACGCGCGAGCACGTGTGCGTGAATGCAGAGGGAATTTTTTTGTGCCAACCAGCAGGCAGAGGCAGAGGCAGAGGCAGAGGTAGAACGTAGAGGAAAGTGCAGAATACAGAGACAGGGCCGGGAGTAATCGTGCCTCGAGACTCGAGCGTTCGTTCGTTCGTTCGTTGGGTTCGTTCGTTCGTTGGTTCGCTCGTTCGCCTCGGTCACGGGTGGTGATGGTGTGTGGTGTGGTGTGGTATGGTATGGAATGGAATGGTGGTGGGGGGAGAGCTGCATCGCTGTTCGGGGTCGGAGCAAACGAATGAGAGTGAGCAAGTGAGATAGAGGTAGTGAAAAGCCGGCGGCAGCGGCGGCGGAGTCGAAGCGGATCGGAGCGGGTTGAAGTGGGAGAGAAGAACGGGTCGTTTGGGTGTCGGCGGTGGGTAGATTGTCAATAGTGGGGGTAGTCTGGCTCGAGCAACGACGCGTCCTAAGGGTGGGGGGCAATTCTCCTGACTACCGCAGTAGAGTAGCGGCCTTCGACGCGATCTGATCTTGGTTCTCTTCGAGAAAGTGTGCGCCCGCGCACGCACTCAAACATACAATCGAACACACACCATACACTCACATTTATATATCATATATATATATATATATATTTAAAGCCGTCCTATACTCTCCCCTAAATACGGTGCTGCGCCGAGAACTTAACGCACTGCGCAGGCCACTTTTCTCTTCTATCTATCCTCTCCTCACAGCTTTTTACCCGTTCGTCTGATCATCTCGACCATAATGCCGGGCATTTCTCTTTGTACATTACTTCGTATCAACCAAAACTCTTGATATTCTCTATCCAACAAAGACAAATAAACTAATAACGGGGGTGGTATCCCTTGGTTGCTGGTGATCAACGTGTAATTAATTGGAAAACCGAGTCGGGATTTTTATCGGGGGTGGTCTGTCATTAATTATTATCTACCCCAACGACCTCTTTTGTTTAAAATTGGACAACGGTGAACGGATTTACAGTGAAATCAATCAGTGAATCAGTTTTTCAATTATACCCACCATCTTACACACTTATTTCTCTTTTTTTAAGTTTTTTTAATTTAATATACGATATAATATTATTATTGTGAAGTGGAATTTACATTAAATACTTTATTTCATTTCGCAACATTTTATCTCTCGAGGATACAAATTTTCTTGAAGTTTTCGTCGTCGTTGTTGTTGTTGCTTGATTGGTTAATTGTTATCTGACACACCTCGGGGTGTCAGCGAAAACGAAAGGGTTACCCCCTTTTTTTTCTACTTTGCGTATATCCCTTGTGTTTTGTGCGTACGTGTGGAATTAAAAAAAAAAAAGAAAAAGAAAAGGCTGGATCACGAGGAAGAAGAAAAGTGAAGAAGGAAGGAAGGAAGGAAGGAAGGAAATAGTGGTGCATAATTCGTGGCGCGAAAGGAAAAGAAAAAAAAAAAGAACACACACACACACACACACATACAAGAGAGAAAGAAGTCAAGTTGGCGAGACACTGAGGGTGACAAGAGAAAAAGAAAGAGTATAACGTGTACGTGTATTATTTGTGTGCATGTACGTGAGCCCGATAGAGAGAAAGAGAGAGAGTGAGAGAGAGAGAGAGAGAGAGAGAGAGAAGCCAGGGGAGATCGACCATTGTTCGTCGGTCGATCGACGACTAGCAGGAGTCGCTTCGTACAAACTCGGCAATCTTCGTGTCTGATCGTCGACGCGTATAGCTCTCTTCTCTCCTGCTGCATGCCGTGCAGATCTCTCCAAGTGTCGTCGCACGCAGTATAGTAAGCGCGGATGGGTCAACCCCAGTGAGAAAAGAAGAAGAAGAAGAAGTTTCCTCAGTTTTTGAAACTTGTGTGCAAACGGGGGTTTGGTTACGAATCATTGTCGATTGATTTTATTCAGCAGTGTTCAAAAGGAATACTTAGTATTACTTAATCGCATACACCCCACTTGTCTGTCCTTAGTTAAATCATCTTATTTAATCGAAGGTGTCAACTTTAAGAGGGTTTTTCTCCTATTTTTTCTTTTCTTCTTTTATCATCTTTTTGGTGTACCTCTTTTTATTGTGTGTGCGTGTGTGTGTATGTGTGTACCCCTCACACTCCACCCGGCGACGGCCATCTATCTATCTATTGTGTTGAACCCATGTGTGCGCGATTAATAACAGGCATTTAAATTTCAAGAGAAAAATCTAATAATAATAATAATAATAATACTAGTGTTTTAATATGAGAAAAATTCGAGACGGTTCGTATTAATAAGAACCGTCTCGAGAGATGAACCTTCGGGTTAATGCGAAATCTATTGGGATTCGTAAGATGATGACGAAGAATGTTAATAAGAAGGGCTCGGTGAAAATAACGAAGAAGACGAGGAACCCATGGAAAATTATTAACGGTATAAACATTAAAGTGACGGGAGATAAAAGTGATAAAAGATTTGGAGTAACTGCAGTATCAATACCAGCAGTAGCAGTAGCAGCAGCAACAACAACAGCAGCAGCTAAAGCTACGATTAAAACGATAACGAACAAGACTAAAAAGATAGAATACGTTAAAGCAGCATGCCACCGGTGTTAGGAGGCGCGGCAATGGCGGTCCTTCCGGTAAGCCCGCAAACGGCTACGCAGGGTAACCCGCACCACCATCACGGTCATCACGTACACCAAGGGCAAACGCAGGTTTTGATAGCGGCCGCCGGTGCAGGCACGCAGGCTCAGCCGCAGCTGCTTTATCAACCATATAATCTAATGCCGGCGACTGGTTCGCCGTCGCATCAACCACCCTTTCAACAACATCATCACCAATATCAGCAACATCATCATCAACAACAGCAACAACAACACCAAGCCCAACAACAACAGCAACAGCAAGCCCAACAACAACAGCAACATTCACCACCTCCACCAGCTCAACAGCATCAACAACAGCATCAACAACAGCATCAACAACAGCAACAACATCATCCAGGTGCCGCCCAACAACAACAACAACAGACCAGTTTTCTTCCTAACGAAGTTGGAAACGCTATAACTACCGCTGCCTTGGCCTTGTAAGTTTTTATCCCTAAAACCACAAATTTTTATCTTCCACTCTCCCCCACTCACCCCGTACGGTAAGAAAAAAGATTACTTCGTTAAAGGTTATCGCTACTACTCCTCCAATCATCTTCTCTTGCTTGTGCATAAATACGTGCATCTGTCTATGTAATATCACCAAGTTTTATTCACTTACTTCACAAACTTCTCGAGATTGGACAAATCTCGTTCTGTAGTTTTTTTCTCTTAACCTTGACTCAAGGTCATCGTCAATCCATGCGTTATATTACTCGCTCCAATTCATTCCCTTAATTTTTCGAGGAAAAAACAAGCAAAAATTGATCAGATTCTATATGGGTTTACAAAATAAACGCGTAAAATCATTCCTAAAACAATTTTAGTTAACAAGGTCGACCGACCACATTTTTAGAATAAATAATCTTAATATGTACACGCGTATCCTTTGTTTTTTTTTTTTTTTCTTCTTTTTTTGTTTTTTATCACACCTGTCATCCGAAAGACATTCTTTTTCTGAAAGCTCGTTAACACTTCAACCGTACAGATATAATACGCGTATTGAATTTTTTTTTCCTCCCCCAGGCCCCCAGCCCCCTTCCCCTCTCCCTTCCCCCTTCCCCCTTTTCCTTTCCTGCGGATATTCATAACTCTAAGCGATACGTTAGCTATCTCGTCGTTCCAACGTAAGTGGACACCTTTACGCGGTCAGAATGAGTCGGAGCACAACCGAGACTGGATCTTCGCAAAACTGGTTTTCTTCTTGGGTAAAGGTTGCGCAACTGGTCTGGCCTCTCTCTCTCTCTTTTTCTTTATTTATTTTTCTTTCTTTCTTTCTCATTCTTTCATGAATACTTTAATCGTCTGAAATTCGTTCGAGATTTAATTACCTCGCACAAGCAGCTAACCTGTCCTTGTCGTTAGTTTCAATGAAATTGTTCAATCGTACAACAGCAATTACTACTATGTAAAATCTGACGATTTCATTTAAGAGAATAACAAAAAAAAAAGAAGAAAAACTAATAATAAGAATATAAGAAGAAGTAGAGAAGTAGAAGTGAATCTTCTGAACAGAGTCAGAGATAAGATTTAAACGATGAGTTTGGAAAGATCGTCGTTACCCTTGGTAATAAGTTAGAAGTTACGACAAGTATTACCATAAATATGATAATCGTATTCGGAAATCGACCTCCATTTCAACTAACCGCACCGTATTTATGATAATTTTGATCGTAGATAAGTCCCAATACGCGTTATTCTCTGGTAGATCTGCTGCTGCTGCTGCTGCTGTTATATTGCTGTCTTTCTTTAACGTATCCTGAAATATTGTTGCCCCCTTTCGAAAAACGGAACCAAATTTAACGATCTCTAAGCGTGCTGACTCGACTACTGCTACATTCATTCCCCCCCGTTCAATATCATCTCGTTTCTTTATCGAGATAGGTGTGTTTCTTTTTCTAATTCATAAGAAAAAGAAAAAAAAAAGAGCAAACCCAATAAAGAGAAAGCAAATAATTCTTGACGTCGGGTGCACTTGTATGAAACAAGTTTTTCCGTTTAATCGATCCGAACTCGATGAAATATTTTCTTTTTTTTTTTTTGGTTTTTTTTCCTGAGATAGTATAGACGATCGAAATAATCAGAAACTGGTCCAACTAATAAATTATTCTCAAATATATCACACACACACACACACTCCATTTGAATAAAAATAACCTTTCCTTTTCGTGCGTTACTCGTGTGACCCCTCTCCTCCTCCTCCCCTCTTCGTTTCCACGAATCTATCCAATCCAGTTTTTCGATTAGACTCGAGATTATGTAAATACATATCGATCTAGAAAACTTTCGAGGAAGTAAGTTAGCAAATCGAATGAATTATCTATCTCGTGATACATATGAAAACAAAAAAATCATAGTTCAACTAATTAGAAACGTAATAATATCAAAGACCAATTGATCAATCAAAAAGAAAACCCCCGTTCCCCATCGATATAAAAAGAACAGCGAGCCTAAAAGGAAGAAAACTTGTTTAAATGTCTTCCCCTTAACATAAAAAAAAAAGAACAAACTTCAATCCTCCCACACATCTGTCAGCAAAACAATTTCCCATCCTATTTTTTTTTTTTATTTACGCAAAAACGGAAGGAAGTAAAAAGAAAAAAAAAAAGAGAGAAATAAGATAAAATAGTAGCATAAACTGTAAGGATATATTATAATAGTTTAGACCCTTCGGGAAATGTAACAATGCGGTTTAATCGGGCGCCTGGTTCTTCGAAAGGCAACAGCTCCCTACTACTCTTCCCACTATTGGGGTGTATACTATTGGATCTAAGGAATGAACTATAACTATAGTTATAGGGTATAGGGATTGGCTAGCTGAGTGGGGATCATAGGATATAGAATCTAAGTATGGGATGGGTTCTGGTTTATGGGGTGGGCTCTATTCCTGACTGTGCTGGATGCTCGAGTTCTGGGTCTGATAGGAGGGTCCTGAAAAAAGTTTTTAAACTCCAGGAATCGTTCTCTCTCTCTCTCTCTCTTTCTCGTTTGCTCTTCCCTTTTGTTAAATTGGGTTCAGGTAGACAGAGAGAGAGAGAGAGAAATAACCAAAGTCCGCTACATTCTATGGAAACACACAAAGACTGGTCCCTTTGTTATTCAACAGGGTTTCTACCTGCTCTCTCTCTCTCACTCTATCACTCTTTCTCTTTCTGTTGCTTTACCGGTGTTGCTCGCGGAACAATGTAACGTTCCACCGAATAAAATCGGGATGTTGAGCAACGAAAGAGGGTGGAAATGAAAGAAAAAATAAAAGGTACGAGATATATATCTCGACTCTTGTATTACAAAAAGAAATAAGAGGAAATAAAATCTAAAGGAAGGTATAATTTCGCGGGACAAGTTTTGAAAGGAGAGATTGACTGATTTTCTCTCTATACTTCTCTGTTCCACGAGGTCGTTCAAGGTCGTTTATCGAGTTAATCGTTCTTGCAGATCGGTGTATACTGATATCATCTCATCGAGTATTTTAGATCGATCAATGAGCTCTACCAGTTATAAACGCTTTCAAATATATCTTTTTAATGACAGATTATCCAATATTTCAATCGACATATTCGACAATAACCTTTATTGTTATTTGATAATTACACTTTTCACGTAAGTTACGATCATACGATTTCAAGATTATTGTTAAGTGTATAAATTATATATATATATATTTGGGTTGATGCTGTTTTTAGAAATTATTTTATTTATCGTATCGTTGATTACGTGATTAAAGATAAACGCTATACACGACAAATGTTTCTACATTTTTAATTAAATGAATTAAATTCTTTCGATAAGAGAGAAATTCATTATGAAAACGTATTTGCTGCAAGTATATCTAAATATATGTTTGAAAAAAAAATATATATATATATATTCCTATCAATATATTATCTGCAAAATTATTGGACTCCATTTTATCGTACTTCGATGCGATAAGAAAACGTAAATTTCAAATGGAAGAGAAAAAAAAAATAAAAGAAAAAAAAAAAGATAATATAAAACGAGAGAAATAAACCCAACAGTGTTGTTCGTTTTATTGGCTCGTCAAAGATACTTTTCAACACTATAGAACAGTCGGTAACTGAGCACAGGATTGAGAGAAAGAAAGAAAGAAAGAAAGAAAGAAAGAAAGAGAGAGTTTATATTCGCAAAGCGCCCCTCATAAAGAGCGTTTATTTATGTACGTCGACGTAGTTGCCGCCATTTGCCGACGGACGTAAGCCTCGAGATTCAATCTTTGTCATAGACTACACAACGATCTTCTTCCGTCTAAATAAAATAAAATCAAATCAAATAAAATAAAAAAAATAAAATAAAAAGAAACTACAAAATTACTAACTAAAAATATTTCTTTATAAATAAAACCTATATAAAACAAACAAACAAACAAACAAAATTTACTAACGATAATATAAAATTAAACCAACGGAGGATTTCTCTTTGAAAAGAAAAAGAATAAGAAAAAGAAAAGAAAATAAGAAAAATTATCCAATTAAATACCCAAAGTTTTTCGAAATAGCCGACAGGCGGCGCTGCGTGTCCACACCACCGCCGCCATTTTTGTTCGAACGGTGCTTCTTCTTGCAATTTTCCCAACGGCCCGCGAAATTATTTGCAAGAATTGTGAGAAAGAGATAGGAAAAACTTGAAAGAAATAAGGAAGGAAAGAAAGAAAGAAAGAGCAAGCAAGCAAGCAAGCAAGCAAGCAAGCAAACAAGCAAGAAAGAGAAAGACGAAACTCTGGGGTTAGTCTCGAGCCTTGCAAATGGCTTCGCCGGTATATATCTGCTCGGTCATTGCGGTCGGCTTCTCTTTCTCGATTTATTGCCCTTCTCTCCTCCTCCTCCTCCTCCTCTCTCTGTCCCCCTGCCTCTCCCTTCTTCTTCTTCTTCCTTGCCCCTCTCTTTCTCTTTCTCTCCTCTTTCTTCTCTGGGAGCAGCGCTGAATCACAACCGCAAATATCCTCCTCCGGTAACTGGCTCTACCGGTTGCCGTCGCTATGTCGTGTCTCTTCGAGTCAAGAAGAAACGAAAGAGAGAAAAAGATAGAAAGAGAGAGAGAGAGAGAAGGAAGTAGATGTTTGCACGCGAGAAAGAGAGATAAAGTTAAAGGAAGGTAGTAGTATGGTGTATAGTAAATGGTACTGGTTGGTAGTGGGACTCTGGGTTGGTTGTGGTAGTATGATACGATAGTTTGTACTGATATTGGGTTTGTTTTTTTTCTTTTATTTTTTTTCTTATGATCATGATTTTAGGACTAGTATTATTTTATTGTGGTCTAGTTTTATCTTAGTGTTATTGGGGTACTGGGTTTCCTGATTAATGTTGATATTTTGAGAATATTACTATGATCTAATCGTTCCCCCAACTACTATTAGAAATATTATATTAATGATTTATAAATATATGATATATTGTAATTACCAATAGATTATATTCCTTTTTAA